TTCCTACATGCTTAGTATTCGTGGAGCATCCTAGCAAGGCAGAGAGCTTACTGCAGTAAAAATTTAAAAACAGCAAAATAGCTTCAGATCCTTATCTTCTCATGGAACCGCGATGAAATATTGCACTGCAGGTTGTATGAAATATTGTGACCCAAACTGGATGCCTGTAATCATTTCTCCACACTGAAGTTATTACTATTTCACGCACACACACAAAAAAAAAGGTTGATACCTTACTCTGAAATTGCCTTGGCACTTGCAAATCATATACATCAAACAGTTCAGTGGAGAAACCAACTGTTGATAGCCTCATCTTCAGCATTCACACATTTGAAAGAGAGGCTTTAAAAATGATGTGTTTGTATAAACCTATGCACTTGCAAAGCTAATTTCAATAGCTTTACTTGTAACCCCTGCATGAGTTAAGCAAGCTTTTCCCTCCCATGCACTGAATTAGAGTGTTCCTCCAGTCTTGCTAACTGATATCTCACTGCATGGAAAAACTTAGACATTTCTTATGACTTATTTCAGTATGGCAGCAAGCAAAATGCCAACACACATCCAGTGTTTCTTTCTGTGCAAGCAAAAGGACAAATGTTTCTTAAGATTTTTTAGGCTCCTGTGGATCCACATCTGCCCTACGTTCAAGCACTCAGCAAGACTGAAAGGAAAAGGGTCACCCACCTCTCTTGTTGGGACTAACACCAGTGCATAAGGCCCATCACTTCGCTGCAAACAGAGAAGACTGCTAAGAAGAATGCAGTGCTCATACATGTGACATTTCCACTATTAGCACTGATAGCTGACAAAGCAAATTCTCATGGGTTTTAGTACAAACTTGCACACCATGCTTTGAGGTATTCCCCTCCCCTTTTAAAAAAGTTTTAAGAAAACCACCTCTTTTTCAAATATCAATACCTCACTGCCACCTCTTCTCTGCTCTGACACCCACCTACAGTCAGACCCCACATTTTATTCCACATACTGGAATTTATTCCACTGTACCCATTTATTCCAAGGGCTGGAAAAGCATCACCCCAACTTTGTTACGGGTTGAAGGCTTTCCACAAAACACAATGCACAAATGAAGGCAGCAGCATTCTCTGGCCAACCAGGTGATCCAAAGCAAATAACAAATCTCACTTGGTGTTGAAAATTAGAAGCCTATTATTTCAATGGACATGGCAGTAACCTTTGTTTTCAGTTTTCCAAGATTCCAAACAGTTCATAGAATCATAGAATCACCAAGGTTTGGAAAAAACCTAAAAGATCACCCAGTCCAACCGTTCACCTATTCCCAATAGCTCCCACTAAACCACGTCCCTCAACACAACATCCAGCCTTCCCTCGAATGTTGTTGTCTCTCCTGCAATCCACCTGCTTCCAGCTTTACAATACGGCCCATTTAGCTGTTGCAGGATGTGAAAGCAAATGTGCAACATTTTATATATGAGAACATCCACATTTTTCTTACATCATCTGTACCTCAACAGTACAGGACAATCACATAAGTCACATCACGAATGAAAAAAGTGAGACTGCTTAATCTTTGTAACAAGAATAGGCACTGATGACTTCAAGATGACAGAATTTATTTTTTATTAATCTTAGTATCAAAACTAAGCATACTCTGTTGCACCTACCTGTATTTTGGATTTCATTCCTTGCAAAGACTGTACAAGTGGAATTCCATAGGCGAGAGTTTTACCTTCATAAAAGGAAGAAAATTGGAAGAGTATTCAAGAAAAAAAAATAAAAATAAAAAAAGGAAATTGTGGTACTCCAGAAAATAAAGGTATAATTCACCCCACTATTCTTAAGCTGAGGTCAGAACTTGGAAAAGTCTTAATTAAGTCAAATGTTTCCAGGAAGGAAGACTGGTAGATCATACGCTCAGGGATTAAATTAAAAAGGAGAGAAAGCAGAATAAATCCATCTAAATAAATACTTCCACTCAAGAAAATGTGACATCAAGACAGTTAACTGTAGAGTAAGCACATAAGTTTATTTGATGAGAGCGTGCTGCTTAGCTCCACTGGCATCCTGGACTGGCATCCCCAGCACAAGCCTTGGAACTGGCCCATGTGCAATAGCTGGCAGCTGCTCATCACCATTCAGTGCCACCACTGGGCACTGTGTCATTACAGAAGTTTGCACAGCATCTGTCTGTGCCACAGCATTCCCACCCCAGGGTTCTGAGCCTGTCACTCTCATAAGCTGTACCAGAAACATGATGCTTTGGTTCTTTTTTTCAGATCCAACTTAAAATGCCCTAGGAATGGAAACTGGCAATTAAGCACTGACCTGAACCAGTCTGAGATCTCACCAGAGCATCTTTGCCTTGCAGGAGCACAGGAATTGTTTGCTTCTGAACACTGCGTAACAAACAAAGCAGGTCAGGAAATACAGAATGCAAGAGAGCATAGAAACCTAAGGTTATAACATACAATAGCTGTTCCAAAACTGTTTACTCTTAATTCTGCACGTTCATCTCTGCTGTACAGCTACACCAGTAAAGGTGGCTTTTGAGGAAAGTCTACAGATACAAGTTAGGTATGATAAATCACAAAAACAGATGATTTTATGATTTGAGTACCAAATTAGGAGCTGGGATTCCTAGGTTTCACTTCTACCCATGACAATGAATTGCTACGTAACTTAGAAGTCATTTACTGTCCCAAAATGTGAAAGAAACAAACCCCATGGAGTGGGTCAGCTTAACAGTTGCTGCTGCCTTCACAAACCAATTATATGTAATGAAACAATCACACACGATTGGCTTTAAGAGTCAGTGAAACGTGAAGTTTTGACATGGTATTTGCTTACCTGGTCATACTACATATCTTCAGAACTGTAGTTATTGTGGCTATCTAGAGAGAGAATGAACAGCAGTAAACAGGTTTTGTTGTCAAACTGTCTTTTTTGTTACTTCCGTAGCACAAGACAAAGCGAAAACCAGAAAACACCTTCTCTGCTAGCCCAGGACAACCAAATGGAAAATTTTCAACATCCTCAAAATACTTCTAGTTCATCAGAATTACACCACTGCTGGTGCAACATGAAATACCAGATTTGTCAAAATACTGAAATTCTCAAACAGTTTTCAGTGGTTTCCACATTACAGATAGAAACAGCAAAGGGTCCTGAGTCACTGTGTGCAGGGATGTCAGGATACTGGTCAGCACACTGAGCTAAGAGACTGCAACACAATCAAAGCACTGTTGAGTCTGTCCAAGTCGCCGTGAATATAAGCACATCTCTCATCTTTCAAAAGTCACCCTCCCTTAAATAGCATGTTCTAAGGCACAAAGCCCTCACAGCACTCACCAGGTGTGGATGGAGGTCCAACTGGCTGAAAGAGTCTGTAGTGAAAACATTTTCTTGCACCTGCTGCACTGCTTTTCTGAGTTAGGGAAAACAAAGCAAAGCAAACAGTAAACAATTACACATGAGCATTTCATGTAGAAAGCAAAGACACCAAATGCCAAGCAATTGCTTTGCCAAAGCAAGGGCTAGAACTGAAGACTGAAGCACTGAAATTTGTAAGATACCTGTGAATTTCTGGGATATCAGGGTTGTTTTTAAACAGGCTGGATGTCTTAATGAAAAGTTTGCTTTTCTGGCTTTCGTTTTGGTTGGCAGTCAATTGCTTCTTAGGAAGAGATCTTCGTGATGAGCTTCCCTTTTCCCTGGTGCCAGTCTCTGCAGCACGTTTCTTGAAGTTGTTTACTGATGGCTTAGATTTACGTTTCAGAGGTGGGTTTCCATGTGGTGACAACTGGAGCTTTCTTTTCAGAGCATTACGCTGCTTTGATGTTAGCAAACAGACCAGACAGCAAGAATGCATTAATGAATGAGGACTGAGTAAATGGTACCATATCTCACTCACAGTGAACAACAGAACTATCAGCCCAAAGATTGATCCCTTCTTTTTTAAATCCTCTGCACCTTAATTAAAGAAACAAAGGTAGATTTTTATATATAGTCATAAATAAACTAGGAACTGTTTAGCTACAAAAAAATCACTCTCAAAAGCTCTGCAAACGTCCTCACATCATCAAAACAAGCTCATAGGAATTCTTTATTTCTCTTAGGAAGAAGAACCCCATCCTTCACTCCAACCCGTGCTCCTGCCAGCTTCCGAGATTTCTGAGCTCTCTTCCTTTTACAATTAGATTCTTTTCCTTACCTTCCAATCTGAAGAAAGATTTTTCCCTCCAGAAACAGCGAGGAAGGAAACTAATTTCGCTTCCTTTGTCCCTAAAGCTCTTTCGTATTCCTCAGCCCTTTCTCAATGAATATTTGACACACCTGCAGAACTCCCCAGCGAGGCAACGTCCCCACACTGCCTCGCTTCGCCCGTTCCTCTCTCTTCCCCACTTCTCCCTGTCCTCCTGTGAACCGCACCGTTCTCAAGCCCTGTTCGTCTTCTCCACTCCCTTCTTCGCGTTGTTTGGCATTAAAGAACTTCTCAGCTCAGACTCTCGGCTGTCCAAGATTTTCACAGCGACCGAATCCCAGCCGCTCGCCCAGCTCCGCAGGTCTCACACCCGGCCCCCTCGTTACCCTCGGCGCTCCCCCCACAGGGATTCACCCCCTCAGCCCCCTCGGCCTCCCCCCCTCCCCGCTCTGTGGAGGCTGACGCGCCACCAGCAGCGCCATCCTCGCTCACCCAACCCAACAAACCCCCGTCCTTCCACCCGCAGCGACTCGCGACGCTCTCATCTCGGCGTCCCCGCGGGAAATCACAGCGCTCGGAGAAGCCCCCTCAGCCCCGCGTTTTGCCGCCCCCACGCGCCCCGCGGTTCCTTTCCCAAGCGACCCCCCTCAGGGAGGAGGAGGCACCCACCCGCCCAAGGTTGAGGAGCAGCGGCCCGTCCTCCTCCATGGCGCCGAGGTAACCGCGCTCAGGCAGCGCCGGGGCAGCCGCACAACGCGGGGCCTTCGGCGGCGGCGGCGCATGCGCGGTGCGGGCGGGCCGGCCGCGAGGCGGCGGTAAGATGGCGGCGGCGGCGGAGAGCGGGGGCGGCCCGTCAGCGCCGGCGGCGGGGGAGGAGGAGCCGCCTCTGGGACTCGATTCGCTGGTGGAGGAAGCGGCGGCGACCGCGGCGGCCAGCGCGGGGTTCCGATTGACGGCGGTGAGGAGAGAACCGGCGGTGCGGCTGCAGCACGGGGTCAGCGGGTTGGAGCCGCTGGCCTGGTCGGAGGATCACCGGGTGTCGGTGAGCACCGCCCGCAGCATCGCCGTGCTGGAGCAGCTCAGCGACGTGCACGGCGGCGGGCAGGAGATGGTCATCCATCGCACGGCCGTGCCCGCGCCCGGCGCCGCCTGCCTGCTGAAGGTGAGCGGCTGCGAGGCTCCGAGAGCCGTACGGGGACGTGGTACGGAACGGCTCCGAGGACGAACTGCCGCTCCAAGAATCGCTTCAGCGCCGACACTGAGAGCTGCGAGTGTAATTCTGAGTGGAAATGCTGCTCGTGTTGCTGTTGGAGCGGAAAGATTTCCACGTTTCTCTTACGTTCCTCACCCACACAGCACTCAGCCCCGGCTGAGCATCTCAGTAATCAGTCAGTGTCACTGATCATTAATGTTATATTTCCAAATCAACACTTGAGATTACGTAAAGCACCTCATATTTCATTTTACTCCACTCTCAGTGTTGTTTGAAATCCCCCTCTGGACAGCTTGCAGAGCTGTTGTATGAAAACATTCTTTGGTTCAGCAGACAAAGATTCAGAAACCTGAAGTCCTGGAAGGATGCAGCTCAGAGGGAACACTGATGGTTGGATGTGATCTTTGCAGCCTCTTGTAAGTTTAGTGATTCTAAGTCAGAACTTATACAAATTTTGGCCAACAGAGAAGCTTCAGTCACCAAGATTGACATCAAATAACTTGATCGCTGTAGCACAGGTTGTGATAGAAATGCTCTGTTTCAGATGGCTCAGGCTGGACCACGCTCTGTGCACCTGACTGAGCTGTACGTGTCCCTATTCATTGCAGGCAGTTGGACCAGATTGGCCTTTAAAGATCCCTTCCAGCTCAAATGCTTCTACAGTTATTAACTCCAAAAAAGCCTTCTTCAAATAACATTCTAAACCTTATGTTTTTTTTCGTCATCTTTCAGGTTGGCCCAAAAAAGGAGGTAGCGGAATGCAAAGAAAAGTTTGCCAATTCCATGGATCCAACTGTTAGTCAGACTTTTATGCTGGATCGTGTGTTCAATCCAGAGGGAAAGTCGCTGCCACCGATGCGAGGATTCAAGTATTCCAGCTGGTCACCACTGGGCTGCGATGCCAACGGAAGGTGCCTGCTTGCAGCTTTAACCATGGACAATCGATTGACCATCCACGCAAACCTCAACAGGCTGCAGTGGGTGCAGCTGGTGGACCTGACGGAAATCTATGGGGAACGTTTGTATGAAGCCAATTACAGACTGACAAAGGCTGACACTCCCAGGGGAGAATTAGAAGACTTCTCTGAATTTCAGCGGCGGCACAGCATGCAGACCCCAGTACGCATGGAGTGGTCGGGTATCTGTACCACTCAGCAGGTTAAACACAACAACGAATGTCGGGATGTTGGCAGCGTGCTCTTAGCAGTGCTCTTTGAAAACAGTAACATTGCGGTTTGGCAATTTCAGCTTCCGTTTCTGGGTAAGGAATCAATTACTTCTTGCAATACCATAGAGTCCGGAATAAGTTCTCCGAGTGTCCTGTCTTGGTGGGAATATGAACATAACAACCGAAAGATGAGTGGACTTATTGTAGGCAGTGCTTTTGGACCAGTTAAAATCCTTCCCGTCAATCTGAAAGCAGTCAAAGGCTACTTTACGCTCAGGCAGCCTGTAGTCTTATGGCAAGAAATGGACCAGTTGCCAGTGCATAGTATCAAATGTATTCCTCTTTACCATCCCTACCAGAAATGTAGTTGTAGCTTAGTGGTGGCTGCAAGAGGAGCTTACGTGTTTTGGTGTCTTCTGTTGATATCCAAGGCAGGTCTGAATGTCCATAATTCCCACGTGACAGGGCTACATTCTTTGCCAATTGTATCTATGACGGCGGACAAACAGAACGGCACAGTGTATACGTGCTCCAACGATGGAAAGGTAAGGCAGCTGATTCCTATCTTTACAGATGTTGCTTTAAAGTTTGAGCACCAGCTGATTAAGCTCTCAGAAGTGTTTGGCTCTGTAAGGACTCACGGAATAGCTGTTAGCCCCTGCGGTGCATACTTAGCAGTTATTACGACCGAGGGCATGACTAACGGCCTTCACCCTGTTAACAAAAACTACCAAGTTCAGTTTGTTACCCTTAAGACTTTTGAGGAGGCAGCTGCACAGCTCTTGGAATCTTCTGTACAGAACCTTTTCCGGCAAGTGGACTTGACAGATCTTGTACGCTGGAAAATCTTGAAGGATAAGCATATTCCTCAATTTTTACAGGAAGCACTGGATAAAAAGATTGAGAGCTGTGGTTCTACTTATTTCTGGCGGTTTAAGCTGTTTCTCCTGAGGATTTTATACCAGTCAATGCAGAAAGCTCCCTCAGAGGTGATGTGGAAACCTTCCCACGAGGATGCAAAAATACTGATATCTGATTCCCCTGGAATGGGCAGCACTGAAGACGATCAAGAGGAAGGAACTTCTAAACAAGCCAGCAAGCAGAGCCTATGTGACACAGGCAAAGGTATGGACATAGATGACACTGCAGATGATTCTCTTCCTCAGTCGAGTGACATAGGAGGCCGTGAGCCAATGGAAGAAAAGCTTCTTGAAATACAGGCACAAATTGAGGCAGTAGAAATGCACTTGACACGAGAACACATGAAACGGGTGTTGGGAGAAGTTTATCTACACACATGGATTACAGAAAACACCAGTATTCCCACCAGAGGAGTCTGTGATTTCTTAATGTCCGATGATGGATATGATGACAGAACAGCACGAGTAAGTGCACCTCTATGCTCTGGGGATTTGGTGTTGCAAGTTCTTTCACCCCCTTCCACAACCCTAAACGAGAACACAGCTTGGGTAGGAAAGAGAGCTGTAATCATGTAATCCTCACTAGACAGCTCCTACAGTGCATACATCTTAAGTTGTGCTTCCTTGAAATTGTGGAACAAGAGGGAATGGAAGTACAGATGTTGAAGTCTGGATCAGGTACAACAAACATGTGTAAACACAGTTTTGGCAGAACATGGGAGAGGCTCAGTTATTCCACAGCTGTTGGTAGGTTTAGAAGGTGTGCTGATTGAGAAGAATGTTTTTGTGGCTAAGTTCACTTAATTTAGCATCTCTTCAAAACTAAACCTAGGGGCTGTATCCTCTAGAAAGTTACATCTGCAGTTGCAGATGTAAGAGTTGCAGGCCTGCATTTCACTGGCAGGAAATCAGTGATCAGTGAGCCCTGCACTGAGCAGTGAGGTTTCCTTCAGACAAGGAAGCTTCAGTGGGAATGCTGCCCTCAGCCTCCCTGCTCTTAAGACTGGATGACAGGATTGTCTCACATTTGTCTATGCCTCTTTGTACAAGCAGAGAACAATGCTTTCCTGTACCTAAATTCTCAAACCACTTGAGCTGTAAAAGCCAATCTTTACATTGCATCCAGAAGGACAAACAAGCACAGTTGCTGTTGCTGATGCAGTGTAGTGTTCTCTGCAAGCAAGCAGGGCACACCGTGGGCTCTTCAGTAATTCACTGGAAAAGCATTCTGGCAGAACTGCTGTGCTTTTCTAGGACCCAGTTACTATCAACTGAAGGCTTAAGATTCTACTCCTTACAGTGATTAAAAGCTGACTTCCAAATTCTATTTCATCTGTTTGGTTTGCTGTCACATTTTAAAGGTTCTTGGGATGTGGTTTACAAACTTGACATTGAAATGACAAATCTGATCATGTAGATGTTCTAGTGTAAACGTTGTGTATCCTCTGTGATGACTGCTGAACACATACATACATACATAGGTGCTGGATAGGTGTTTTGGTTTGGTTTTTTTTTTAGCACATTCACTGTGATACACATAAAAACTTCACTGTAACACTAAGATCTTCTGAAGTGCTACAACATCAACTTTTCCAGTGGCGTTTACATTTATAATTAACCTAACACTGTTGCTTTCTGTACCCCTTTAGTACAGCACAGATTAATCTAGGAGATCCTGATAAAGCAAGAATAAATTAATGTCTCTTTGACAGCCTTATGTTTCTGCTTCTGGATATGCTTGAGTGAAGTGGATAGGTCTTTGCATCCTGTATCATGCTCTAAAATCACTGTATCCTGAGAGACTCCTCTACCTTTCAGTAGGCAGCTGTCTTGCTATAAACGATGCTGACTGCTGTGTATTCCCAGGTGCTGATTGGGCATATCTTAAAGAAAATGAACAAACAGACTTTTCCAGAGCACTGCAGCTTGTGTAAGGAGATCCTGCCATTCACTGATCGCAAACAGGCAGTCTGCTCCAATGGACATATTTGGCTCAGGTAATTTGTCCTTAGAGTTTTTGCCTTTCCCCTTCCTCCCCTACGTAATTAAATGTGTTTCAATAGCTAACATCAAATTCTTTGTAGTTCTGGAGTAAAAAGTTGTGAAGTCTGTTGCCATACTGCAATTAATTGCTTTTTTTTTTTTTTTTGCTGGCTCTTATGTGTCCTCATCCCTGAAAGAGAAGAACGCTGTAGTTAGAGAAAACACTGTAGTTGGGACTTGGATCTTTTATCAGTATGCTGTTTTCAAAATAAAATGCTTTTGATCATTTAACTCTTTTCTTCAAACACGGGGAGGGATGGGACAGGGAGAAAGCAGGGGGAGGATGAGAAATGAAGCACATGTCATCCTTTGGAACAGCACGTAAAAGAATTCTAGCTACTTCAGCACTGAAAACAAAGTGAAAAATGATTGGCAGCAGCCATGCTGAGAAGTCAGACATATTCTGGAATATCTAGAAAAGGAAATATTTCCACATCAACGCATCAGGATGCTGTTGGTCCCTGGAGCCTTAGCATGGCAGCAGTCTCACTTCAGAAAAGCCTTTCACATACATTTTTCTTAGCAGATGTAAGAGCTATTTTGGCTAAATCATCACTGCTTTTGGTTGGAGACACCGTGGTTCTTCCCCTGTGCAGTGGCTGTGGGACATTTTGCCTCTTCTACTGTCCACTAGAGTTCTTGGGCCAATAATGAACCTTTTTTCGCTAGAAAGCTGGGTTTGGGGCTTTTTAACTATGTTGTGCTTGTGAAGTTTCACTTACTTGAATGAACGAACTGTCAGTTCTTGTGTTTGATGTGGCTCACGCTGCCCTTACCTCAGGAGGCGAGGTCTGTTGGGAACAGAACCCAGCCAGCCTGTGGGCAGGGTGTGTGAGCAGGTTACCAAACCCCAAGCTTTGGGATTGAAAGCAACTTGTCCTTTCACAGGTGCTTTCTAACCTACCAGTCCTGTCAGAGTTTGGTGTACAGGAGGTGTTTGCTTCATGACAGCATTGCACGGCATCCAACCCCAGAAGGTAAACCATTCCTGTGGCCCAAAAGGGCAGGACTGTGTATTTTTACATCTTATTTGCATAAAGACCTGAATTAATTTCACTGACTTTTCTCTTTCAGGCAGCTGTATGAAGGTACTAGTATGCACTGCGTGCTGTCCTGGTTTTGGCATGCCTTATTGGTAGATGTTAATTACAAAATAGCTACTGTGGAAATTAACTTGTTAGTATTGTATTTTATGACAGCTGGTAAACATGTAAACTACAGTAGGGTGCTACAACAGTTAGGTTATATTCAAGCTAAAGAAATGAATTAACACACAGTTCTGCAGATGTGGGATGTCCCTGACATTCAGTGCAAGTTGTATTGAGCCAGCACAAGTTAAGAGAAAAGGAGCATCCTGCTGGCTTAGGCCCCAAATTCTGTTGATACTTTTCCTCTATAAGGTGTGAGAATTCCTGTCATCACTAAGATCAACTACAGAACTGAAACCTCCATAGAGAGAGGCTGTAACCTTCATTACCTCCACGTTGGAGGGGGACAAAGAAAAAGGAATTACAGACTGCAAGCAGCGCATGTAATTTCATTTAAAAAGCAAGGTTGTTAAATTCTGGCATTGTGATTCTTCGATTTTTGTTGCCTGTTTGAGTTATGTGACTTTTTCCCATCTGAGACTGCTTAGCTGAGTATGTAATGATGAAGCATCGACTGTTTCACCTTAGTTTTGTCGCCTGCTGAAATGAGATTTAAGCTGTCATTACTTGGAATTTCAAGTCAGAAATGGAGTTGGACTCCCTGCGCTCTCAGTTAATCCTGCATGGTGAATGTATGCAGACTTTCAGGATTGCTGTTTAGTTTGTCCATGTCAGCACCATTTCTGTTCATCTGCATCTCCAGTTCTAAAGAGTGTTTTCTTATTTGCAGATCCTGAGTGGATCAAGAGGTTATTGCAAGGACCCTGCACGTTCTGCGACTCTCCTGTGTTCTAGACAAGAGCTGTGTAAAGACTGAAACTATTTTCTCTACTGCATAAGCTCCCTTCACAGTCTAGAATGATATCATGTGCAGGAATACAAACTTTACTGGAGGGGGAGGACTCTGTCTGTGACCCTGTAAATGGAACGCTGGATGTTCTAGAAACTCCCTGTGTCCAGAGGCCATTCCATGCTCCAGCAGCAGAAGTACATCTGGAAGAGTGAGCTCATTAAGCACCCCATTGATGTGTCAGCAGCTGGACATGCTTCCTTTCACTGAAAAGAAACTGAAGTCTTAAGCACACAGAGTGAACTGTCCTGTCTGCAGGACAACTGTGTGATTTCCCAAAAGCTGGGAGGGAACAGCAGAGCTGCCTCTTGAATAGCCTTGGTGGGTAGAGCAGGCTTTAACTTGTAGTGCTTGTTTGCCTTTCCCCCCACAATACGGGCACTTCCTGCAGAATATTAAACGAACAAAACATTTTGTGGTTCTAATTTCTTGAAGAGCAAAGCCAGGGTCAGTTGCAGCCATAGGAAAGAAATGGGCCGACACATTAGTTTCACCCAAAGTCTTGAAGAATGACTGCCTTTGAGCTGTCGTAACAGTGTTGCAGTTAGAAGAGTAAACTATTGCTTGGATCAAATACAGATCAGCAAGAAGAGTTTTTAAGGTAATAGATTTTAAACTATTAGCAATTAAACACTAATATATATAAAATTCCCAATCTCAGGTCTCCTGCCCAACTTTCTAAAAGAAGTTCTGACTGCTTCCCAATGCATGTACTTCTCACTCCATTTAACCCTTTACCAACAAGAATCCTCTTTTCCAGAGCAAGTCAGTACCAAACCCACTACCAATTTACCTTAATTTCAAATGAATTGAGTCCCCTCATACAGACTTTGTTTCACAGAAATCTGATGTAAGTAATCACTCCCAGATGACAGCTCTTTTCATAATAATGCAGTTAAAGCAAAACAAAAGCCCCAACATGGCCAATGTACTCAGGTAAAATTTCCACAGCTGGTCTTGGAGCCTGGTGAAGCTGCTCTTGTATAACCCTGACTTTCTCATCAAGAGATTCATAGACAAGGCAGTGATGTAGCATGGCTGAGCCCAGAAATCCGTTCTGCTTTCAGAAAGAAATCTGTCTTTTGCATCTAGTTCACACAAGGAGCAGGAGAATCCTTTTCAGCTTCCTATGCAGTGCTAGAGGAACGATACCTCTGAAATACGTGTGGTTGTATGGCACAGTTGTTCAAAAAACACGGCGTCAAATAATACAAAGTTCGTGTATTTACATTCCTCAGAGTATGAATTGGGACACTCAGCTGTGCTGCTCTGTTTGTGACAGTGTCAGTCTCCAGCAGTGCACGTGTGGATTGGTGCTTAGTTTCCTTCATTTAATGACTATGCATATTTTCTTCTTGTTCCTTAACCTCTAGCAGGAGCAAATGTTTTGCAGCTAACATTAAAACAAGTCGGCTGTCCTCACTATTTGGTGTTCGTGCATTAAGCATGACAGTGCTTTGAATGAATAATACTGAGATAGTAGACTAGAGCAACGGAAGCACATTCATCTGTAACATAATTAGTCTCGTTTGTAAATATCCTTGGAAGTGATACCATGACTGTATTAAAGAAATGTTTAGTTTTTTATTGCTGCGCGTTGAACACTGAAATGACTTTGGGGTGGCTGCAAAGAAAAGGCAGATCGTGGCAGCATCTCCTACAACGAAGTCAAACCTTGCTGCCCAATTTGTGTGCAGTCTGAGGCAGAATCTACCTGAGACAGCACTGATGTTCTCCTTCCCAGTGTTTGTGGGGTGTGGGGGGCACAACGTTTATTTCTGATGTGAACAGAAGGTGGTGACAGGGAAAGCACATGAAGTAGAAGCTTCAAGACTTCACTTGGGCAGTCCTGACCACTTCTCTCAGTGAATAAATATCCCCACTCAGAAATTCACCTGATGACAGAGATGAGAGAGCTTTCCAGAGCTGCACGTTAAGAACTCTGATATCAGATTAATGCCCTGCTCTGCTGAAGTGTTGGTTGGCTGACTGCAAGGTTCACTGTGCTGCCGTTAGATGAAAACCTGGTTTTACTTCAAGCAGTTGTCCTGAATTTCCCTGGAGTTCTAATGCTTTAGACATGTAGAAGCTAGTACACCTAGCACTAATGTTCCAGCATTAATGTTTATTTTCCTTGTCTTTCAAGGCAGTAGATACTCACTATATCATTGCCAGTTTATTTAACCTGATTTATGACTGCTGGGAGAACGGAATTTTAAAGCCAACGATGTCAGCTTTGTCTGCATGCCAGTGGAGATCCTTTAGCACAAAGCTTTCACTTCTCACCCTGACCCATTCACAACAGGTAAAGAGGTATTGTGATTTATTTTTTAAACAGTCACTGGTCCCTGAATGTGTTTTTAACTAGTGTAGATTGAGTAGTGTAGCCTCAGACCAGTAGCATTTAACCTCAGATGTTGATCTTACTGGGTTTTTCTGCCCAGCTATCAGCTGAAACTTCAAGAAACCTTTTGTCTGTCTTGGACACGTGGCTTGCAGGCCTAGAAATGGGAGGTTTAGTCCCGTTCCTGGTAAAGTACTGTAGCAGCCAGCAGAGCTGCACCCTAGTGCATCATCCCTTGTGTTTTCCCTTATCACAGCCTTTGCTTTCACCCCACGTACAGAGAAGGGCAGCGGATGAAGGAGGTACAAACACCTGCTGCTGGGTCCTTGCACTGTTTTTGCTGTGAACAGAGCTGCCTTCCCAAACTGGTACCTGGCAGAGCAGTTCTGCATTAAGGCCCAGTCTGGTCTGAGAAACCACGATGTGCTTCTCATGGCAATTACGAGAGTTCATCGCTCTTACCCTGGAGAGAAGAAGTCCAGGCTGTTGAGGAGATGGACAGAACAGCTTTGGACTGGTTTTGGACAGTTGTTTTGCCTTGATGTTGAATGCCATTGTTTGAAGTAAGGTGAAAGTTTGGGGTGATGATGACACTTGGTTCTCCAAACTCCATCTCCTGCTCTGGAATCAGTGACAGTGCAGCTCATCACTGCCTTGTTAATTAATTTAGCTTTGGGGTGGGGAAGTAAACGTGTTTACAGGAGGCTTGTTTTCACAAGTGTAACTTCTCAAATACAAAGCCCTTCTCTATTGCTTACCCAGTTTGTAAAACAGTGGGCAGCACTTGAAGGCACAATTGCTGGCATCTCAGCAACCACCTCCAAATAGGAAATCAGAGAGAACCAGGAGAAGAATGTCATCATTTTTTCTGGCAGCCACGTGGTAAGTGTGCTGACAGCAGCAGTTCAGTGCCCTCCACAGTAAGCCTTGCAGTTTGTTGCTGTGCACTGGTTTAGCAATGCAGCTGGAAGCAAGGGCAATAGCAGAATTAGCCTCAAAGTGCTGGTGGTTGCAGCAGAAGGAAGATTTATAAGTTTCTAAACTGGAAGAAAAAGTTGATGGGATCTCAGTAAATAGAGATGAAATGCTCCAAGTAGTTATCAGGACTGCTTTTCTCAACCCCCCTTTTGAAGCTTTCTATATCAGGCCTGTAAATGCACAAGCTACACTTGCATTTTAAATGTACACTGACAAGGGAAAGGGTTTATCCTTTAACAAGAGCTGTGGGATGCCTGCTAGTTTACTGCTTTGCTGCTACGTGAGATCAGCAAAGCTGCTTTTCCCATCTGGGCAGGTAAACAAGGAGGATGTGAGCTTGGCTCTATGCACCAAGATTCCTACTCTGCCTATTGAAGATGGAGGAATCTTGACAAGAGTTCAGCATTCTCCTGGAAGTCTCAGGCCAGGATGGCTTTTCACAGCTACATGGAGGCCAGCACGTCTGCACAGCAGTGTCTGCAGAGCTGCTGTTCTCACTTCTAGTAGAGGAGGGCCTTGTATCCACACTGTCACTTAATCTGTGCTAATCCTTTGCCATACTCAGTTCTAACTCATACAAAGTGTGCATTAATACTTTACACTGGAGTTGTTTCCAGACCCTTGCTGTCAGTAGGAATATTCTTTTTCCATAGCTGTATTTTATTACTGCTGATTCAGTTTTCACTTGTCTTTATTTGAGATACCCAGAACTCCTGCTGCTCTGTCACCTGCGTAGGGACCTCAGCAGTGTCACAACTGCCTCTACATGACTAGCCAGAGCAGTTTCTATTGCTGCAACACAGCAGGTACACAGGGCTCCATACTAACATTAACTGCATTGCTGTCCAAGCTGTGTGCATTACAGAGCAGCAAAGGGAGTTTGCAAATTTCCTGCACTGTCTTAGGCTTCAGCTAAATCATTCCAAGTGTGTGCATCTCATCTGGAGTACCTCCATCACAGAAGGACTCTTGCACTGCTGAGAGCCTACAGCCAGAGTTCCAGGGCCACACCAATCCTGTAGCACTCTTATTTAACACTAAGCATAAAAAGCCAACCCCCAAAGGGGAAAACCCAAGAGCCACCCAAACAGAACAGTTCACATAAGATTTAATTTAATTGCTCTGCTAATTTAATGGATCTCTTCATGCTGCTTCAAATTCTGTTCTGCAGTGTAAGTGTTGTAGCTGGCAGACTGCGCGGTCCAAGCTAAGTTAAAAGCATAGATGAGTTCTCATCTTCAGTTTCTGGATTTTGCTTTTGAGATTCAGTTCACGAGAGGGTCTGACAAAGCTGCTGTGAATATTGATGCTATGTATATGGCATATTTTGTAAACGTGAAGCAAACTGGGATGAATGTTTTATATACTGCATTGTAATCCTGCTCCTTTTTTTAAATTCTAAATAAATAAATAAAGTACTTGTTTGTAACGTCTGTATTTTAAGGAAGTGACTTCTTGGGAGGGACACAGAGTGCCAAGAGCTGGAAGGGACAAGAGATGGGTGAGACATGTAAAGCACACAGTCTTTGAGCATAAGGCTTCGCACTCAATGAAAGTCTCACTTCCATAAGGACAACACAGAGCAGCAGATTTGACCCCGTTTTGAAAGTGGGATTTCTCAGCTATGACATATGAAAGACTTGAAATACAGGAGCTGTGGGAAAGGTGAATGCAGAGCCAGGGGCTGTTTGTGTCAAGGGAGCTGTATGGTGCAGACGGGCAGCTCTTCTCAATCTCTGACTGCTGTAACCCTGGGCCTCATCTGCGCTATGAAAGGATAAATGTTTTTAGCCTAGGCTGCCGAAACAGGATAAAAAGATCAGCTCTTGATTTTAATCTTTAAAGAGATGAGAAGAAAAGAAAGTTTTAGTTCTGCAGCTCTAACAAAGTGGCTTGCTGGAGAAATGGAACAGTTGTGCCTCATTTAATTAATCCTGAGAAGTTATTTACAATGGAAACTATTTGGTTAAAACAAATACGGAATGCTGAGCTCTTTATGTCTATGAACACCCAAATAACCAGGTTGGGGATGAATAAGCACTGTTCATCTGTTGTTACACATAGAGGAAGGGAGAAGTAAGAAGTCTGAGACATGATTTAGAGGCAAGTTCCATGGATCTGGACGATGACTTCCCAGCTATGGCACTTGCAGTTTCGACTCCTAGGTGCCACAACACTGGTGGTAAAGCCAGAAGGATGACCTGAGGTCCTCAGCCGTACAGCCCTTCCCTCCTCACCTGTGTAGGTTCAGCCCCTTACCCCTGACACCCTAAGTGCTGCATGGCAGCTCTCCAGATCCACAGTTACACTAAAGAAGCAACTTGCTTCCAAAGAAGGGGTCTGACAATCACTTTTTTCTTTTCTTCCATAGAAAGAAACTGTTCTGGTTGGAGAAAGAGGAGAATAACCCAGGACAGCCTGCCTGTAGAGAGGAATAGACACTGCACTGAGTAAGAGCAATCCAGAAGTCACCTTTGAGGCTGTGTTTATGCAGCTTGACCCAGATGGGCAGTTACAGGGTCAGAACTGCAGTTTGCACCTCTGAGAAGCAGACCCTGAGGCACAGGAACAAAAAGCTTAAGGAGCTGTAAGGATGCCTCCTTCTCTTCCTTCCATCATACAGCTTCTACAACACCCCGTGAATGGATGTAAAACCAGCTACAGCTAAAATTTCTGTGCTGGCATCCTCACCTGAGATGTGTGCACCTAAACCCTTAAAGGAAAGCTGAGAAAGCAAAAAAGGCAGGGTAAATCCTTCAAGGATTTGGCGCCCCTGCAGAGACAGGGCTGGAGGATTGGGTTTTCTACCCACAGCACCTGAGCATCCTTCCACAAGGCACACGGAGGAGCCGCTCTGTGGAGCAGGCAGATGGGGAAGTTTGTGGAACAGCTGAACGCGTTCGTTTTGTTGCGAGTTACATCATTACCAGCATAACCTATGGAGTGCAGCACAGCCTCCAGACAGCCCTCCCTGCAAAGTGTCTTTGGAAAACTGATGAAAGATGTCTGCTCCAGGACTGGGCACACGGTGCAATAAGCAATGTCTGTTCCCTGCTGTGTTCTTACCGCCTCCTCTTTACCGTGTTTCTCTCATTGCTTAACATTTGTTTTGCCGGAATAAGATGCTAATAAAATCAAGAACAGTTACCAAATTGGTTTTCAAGTGTTGCATTCCAATTATAAAAACCTAATTCCTCCTCCCATCCGCTGAACCTTTTTGGTATTAACAGGCTTTACTATGCAAAGTGATGCAGGGGCTGTTTCGTTTACAGTAATTAAATGAATGTCAATTGTTTTAGTTGTTTCCGAGGGAGAGTTCTACACGAGTATTAGCATGTTCTGCTAACCCTTACGTTCTGCTCTTCAGGCCTGCTGCAAACCCTTGGGGGTTGACCATTGACCTGAGACTGCGTACCCAGACATGCCAAGTGCATCTCAATGAGACAAGCTCTTTTTCTCAGTTTCTATGGAACCAGCAGAGCGGAACTAATATAACGTCCGCATATAGATGAAAGAATGAAGAGGAAAAAGGGCTTTACAGCTAAATTAATTAAGCAGATGTACCTGTCTAATTAAAGACAGGCCGTCCCTTTTGTACCCTAGCTGCAGTACAAACAGTATTTAAATACACTCTCTACCCATTTCATCTATCAAAATATTTAGTTGGAACACTCAGATGAAGGTGATATTAGCGAGATGAGCTTCCCATGTATTATTAATAGAAGGGCTCCCAATTATGCATGAATGCTACAGCATATCTTTATAGTAATAGCATAAAAAACAGCTGCCCAAACAGGTTACCAAACAGCACATTTGTAACAGGTGAAACTGTTATAAATGCTCTGGCCCAGCTTTACACAAGGGTTTGCAGTCAGGCCCTGCGTGGCTGTTCCTGGCACCGTGAGTTGAATTTCTCAGTGCAAGAGGCACAGAGGACTCAACTCATATTGCCAGTACTAGAGACTAACTTATTTATCCTGAGATCTTTAATGCTATCCCTCAGTCTGGCAAATCCCCGCTCATCAAACCTCCCAAAGGTTTTGAGAATTCTGACCTTAAACTCTCATCATCCCTACTCCAAATAACACAGCACCACCAGAGCCACCCAGCTAAGCAGGGCCTTCCCAACCAAATTTACTCCGCAGGTGCAAGGAAGGATTTGAGCACATATATCCTTATGGTACTCCATATACTTGATTAAAGACAACAACAGGGACATACTTGATAGCAGTAGGAGCAGAGAAGTCACAGAACCAAAAGGCTCCTGGGGGCACACACATCCTACCTCTTCCTAGACATAAAGACTTCAAGGAGAAAGCTGAGGCACCCTCAACCCCTGCTCAAGGGGAGCTCACACTCATTCACAGCAGAAATAGTCATAATAAAGGCATCAAACTCAGTGAATTGCAACAACAAATCACACTCCTTCCTTGGAAGCATGAAAGATGCACGTTCCCATAGCCAGGCTCTAATTAATAGTGCTGTACTTCTCACCTCTTGTGATTTTCTAATTAAGAAAGACTTACCTGAATTTTAGGGCAACCCGATCCAGGCAGAGCAAACCCCAGCCAAGCTACAGCAGCCCCAGGTGCAACCCCAGCCAGCAGGAATTAAGATGGGAATAGCTGCTACAGAAGAGCCTCTAACACAGGCCGAGAGCCTCGTTATGCCCTTAATTGGGTTCTAAACGTGATGAACCTGCTCGTGGTTTTTGTATGACTCTAGAAACTGTCTCCTGTTCTTCTGAGTGTTTCTGCTTGGCTGTGTGATTGCAGAGCAGATCGCAGGGACCGTCCTGCTGCTCTGCCAGAATATTTTAAGCAAGTTGAGTGAACAAGGGAACAAAAAACCAAAGAACATCTAGTAGCTTTAATACTGTAAGTTAGCTGTATGGATATGACACGGTTAACATAAAACTGCTAATTGCTCCATTGCAGAGTCAGGAAAGGACATCTGAATCAAACACAGGAGCTTCCTTAGCTGCCACCCTTCATAATTTGGATCACGAAACAAAAGCAAAACAAAAATCCCTAAAAGCACAATCTCTTATTCTGTCTTCACCTTGGTGAGCTCTGAATCTAACACTGCTTGGTTGAATTCCTGTTCCCCTGTGAATGTGCCACATCAGTGACTGGATTGCAAGCATTACAAGGAAAAATTGAAACCAACTATCCAAGAAATCAACCTTAATTAATTAGAAGCATTTAATTTTTTGCACGGAAGGGGCTTAATGATACAGCTTTCTATAAACTCAAAGATAGGATATGAATCTTGATCAGCATTGACGTCAAAGGCGTCTTCATAAAACTCCTGCAGATCCCTGACGTTCCTGTGATAGGCGTCCACGCGTTTCTCAATGTTCTCCTCCTTGTCCTTGGGGTTCTGCTTGAGGCGGGCTTGGATCTTCGCAGTGGGCGCTGGTCTGAGTGTCGTGTGGTATCTGCAGATGAGATACAAATGCCACCTGTTCAGCTCAGCTTGAGGACACAGCAGCCATCGCCTCATTCACTCCATGGTTCTCCTACCGCTGTTCCCTTCTGGTCTAGGTTGGAAACTTCAAGGTAAGTTAACCAGCATTCCTGCTCTCAAGAATGTCAGATACTCAAGAACCAAGAGGTTCCCTTGAAGTGGTGCAGAAACTGCTGCCAGTGTCTATCTGCTTTGTTGGAGGCAATGCAACACTGCTTCCCGTAAGGTGCAGATAAACCCCTGCCCTGTGCCCAATGCTGCAAATTAAGAAGCACTTCTGGATCTGTTCTGGCCCCGCTCTCCCGTGCCTGCTTCTAAGAGGATAAAAGATAGAATGTAATTCTTGGTGTCTTTTTATAGTAGCTGGAAATAAAAAGAGCTTGATTCACTCTGAGGTAGATTTTAGTTACTTCTGATTTCCAAAACGCTGAAATTTGGCTCTCCTGAACCCGCAGCCGTGGATTTACAGAGGCAGAGGATTTCCATCAGCAGAGTCCAGCCCAGCCTGCCCACACAGCTGATGCCAGAAGGTATTCAGACAATGATTCTGTATTGCCAGAGGCTCCCAGCAATTGCTAAAAGCTCTTTTGCAAACATGTATTTAAATTTTCTGCCACAGTATTTCTGCATCTGACTGATCATCTCCTGCCCTCTTTGCTCCTGATGTCACAGAGACAGTGTATCCCTCTATAGTAAAGCCAATTTTCCTGAAACCATTGGGATAGAAGCAACAACAAGGAGGAAAGCAGAGCCTCTGCACAGAACTGCATTGCAGCTCCAGCTGGTACCACGATGTGGGAACAAAATTCATTCCACGTGAGGATTATTTAGGATACAGCTGAAGGCCACCCGCCCTCCTCACTGCATTTCAGCCAGTGATGCAGCTTTAATATAATGATGAGGATTAGATACAGCATCTAAAACAATTCAATTCACAATGAATTTGTAAGGAATAAAACCCAGACTTTGGAAGAAGGAGACGTGTTAACTGGAGCAGATACCAAACAGGCTAATCCTAATGATAGGAAATGCAAAGATGTGTGAATGATTTGCTCCGTGCCTTTCATTTCTTCTCAACAACTGCATCACTTATTACTAAAACAAAGAGAACACTTCTGCAAATCACTGCTGCTGTCACCAGTTAATGTTGCACCTAGAGTGAGATGTCTGAATAATCACATGGCTTTGGCACAAACCCAGTATTTAGGGCCTTATCTTCGAGGGTTCCGTGTTTGTCTTTGATTCAACAGAAGGCATTTACACGTTAAGAATGTGAAACAGTGCTGTACAACTCCAGTGTGGGGAGTTATCCACTGGAGATAATAAAACAGCACAAGCGACAGTTGGAGTTGCAGCCCCACTTCCAGCAGAGATGTAGGGCGGTCCCTCACAACACCAGGGTGGGGAAGGCAGTAACCTGATGTCCCCATGAAACGAGGCGATGTGAGCATCCGTGAGACAAACCAGCACATCTGAGAACCACATTGTACAGCGACTCTGTGTCTCAAACAAGTTTGCTCTACTGAGCGGGAAATGTTTTAATATCTCATGGTAGGCAGAACCATCACAGCAGCAGGGGAAGTAAAACACAGCAAGATTTCCATCTTCCCCAGCTGGAAAGCCTTCAGAATTCTCATGGGAATGTCTGAAAACCATCTGCATTTAGGTTAGGTTTCAGACATCTTCCCTCAGCATTATTTTTACCGACCAATTTAGTTGCCATTAAAATGTTAAGAATGGAGCCACTTGCTGCTGTGCATTTCAGTCTCTGGGAATTTAAAATGCCCTGTTCTGCAGAGAGGAGCATACAGGAACAGATGGGTGGGTTGGTACTTGAGTAGCTATGAAAATTTTAACTTTTCTTTTAAGGAATCCCTGAGCATGAGTACAATATTCCTGAGGTTCCTTAGATTTCTATGAAGTCTACTTGCTGCTTTCATCTTGCTGGCAGTCTTAAAAAAAAAAAGTTAAACATGAGATATTAGTGCTAACCTTTCCCCTGTGACTGGATCAATCCTCCGCTGAGACAGTCGTTCAATGATGGATTCGTAGGGAAGATTGAAGAAAAATACCCTATGGAGAACATAATGAGTAAGAGCATTAACATCCCGAGAACAGCACTGGCAATCTTCAGACAGGAGTTAATCCTTATCCTAATGGAATGGGACATACAGACATGGAAATGTCCATCATGCATCAGTGTATCAGAAGGCAGTAGTATATGCACAGATTCTTCCCTGGTTCCTCTCCCATCTTGTTGAGTCTCCAAGCTAGGAGAGCAGTTATTGCATTTCAAAGGCAGCAGTGAGTAGCACAGCGCAGCGTCAGAGCTCAGCATACACCCATGCCAGGGCACAGAAAGCAGCACAGAGAGGCATGACCCCTCTGGCAACAAGCCTTGCTGCTAAGAGAAAAGGTTCATGCTTGGTTTTAAGATCCAAGTCTGCAATTCTCATTGAGTCTGTACGAGTCACAGTTGCTCAGCACCCTAAAACATCCGTCCCCCAGTGTGAGGAGTGTGGGTTTCATGCTGTGAACAGAGCATGGGGTGGGACTGGTCAGCTCTTTCCACCTGCCTTACATGAGAGCCCTGATCTGAATCAAGGATGCACAACCAGAACTCAATACACACTGCTATGGAGCCCAGCCGTGCTGTTGTGCCCATCCCACAGTGACCCCTTGTTGGCAGGTTGGTTCCACACATTGGTTCTGTCAATTTTATATTCTGGTCCAAAAACACTTCAGCAGAAAATTCCCAATGAATTCTCATAGTGAGACTGAGTGCTGTGAGCCCCCAGCCTGGGGGAGTCCCACAGTCATTGGAAGAGCCGGAACAAAGGTCACATTTAATGGTGAATTTAGAGCAAAACAAGAAGTAAAGCTTCCCTTGAAAACTTAGGAAAATAAACTTCTACCAACTGAACAGGCCTGAAGGCTGTACACACGTGTTTCTTTCTAAAGCACCTTATTCTGCTGCTCCCTGCAAGGCCCGACTTCCCACTTCGGCTGTCTGCCTCTCGCAGCGATGTGGCACGCTTTAGACATTCACCAAAGGAACATTTTACACTGCCTGGGTGGGATCAAACCAGATGAAAGGCTGAGCTTTGCCTCGGCGTGCACAGAGCAGATTACTAGAATCCTTTGTAGGATTTAAAGTTATGAAAATCATCTCTCTTTTCAAATGTTTACAGATAATGACTTCCTTTCACACCGCAGTAACAAAACAACAGCCAGGAATAAAACATTCAAGATCTCGGAGGTTCCAAAGACAGGAAGAGAACAACAGTTTCAACACTCTTTTATCCCATACACTCTGAACATTTTGTTTTTCTTTGTTTCCGTTGCCCAACAATGGCACAAAAACGTGATTGTCAGAACAGGTAACATCTGATGATGCATCTCGAGATGAATATTCTAGTAGAGAGGAACAACACCTATGCAGTCATGATAATTGATACGGCTTCCCATTATATTCTGAAATAAACAAAACCACTAAAGGATTATAACCTGGCATATCAAGAAAGCTTGTCGTAATTCATAGTTACCAACTCAGGAAGTATTACGGTGTTTGAAACAGAAGAGCCTAAAAAACTCCACTTAAAAAGCTGCCAACAAAATGAACTCTGAAAGCCTTGTCTGAGATTCCCTTCTTTTCTACACAAGATGCTTCTTATTATCCAGGCTGGTGTCACCATTAAAGAGAAGTGTCGGGGGAAGATGTGGGAGAGAACAGACATTGCTGCTAATACGGATTTCTTTCTTCCCCCAACGCGTGGTAACAGGGTGCACGTGGGACACACAGCACAAACTCCTGATGTGGCCCAGCAGAAGGAGGCACCACACGGCCCCCAGAGGTGCAGCACAGCTGGAGCCCAGGGCTGGCTGGGTAACGCCACTCCGAGGCAGGAAAAGAAAGGGAAAAAACAATGGAGCTATCAGGGACGTTTTAAATGCTTCCATTTAGAAAGTGTTGTGATTGTTTTGAAGGAGACACGCACTGCGCACTTACGCAGCCCCAGGAGGTCACCCACATGAGTGAGCCCTATTTACACAGAGCATTGGCCTTCTGGTTGGTATTTCTCGAGCCTCAAGCTGTCCAGGTAATGCCTTTGTTGCATTGAGACAAAGGGCTGCATCCACGACCCCAGAGCTCAGAGCCGTAATGGGAGCAGCTCCTGGCAATCACTGGGCTCAGAGCTTGGCCCCTTCTGCATACAGTGCTTTGTTTTTCTCCCCCACATCAATGCATCCTCCGTAAAGCTCGCGTTAGGAATCAGCCAGGCTTTGTATGTTGTAATGTGTCACAACTTCTATCAAGGGGAAATATGAAACAGATGTCATCAGAATCGGTAGACAGGGAGGCAAGGAAACACAGCCTCATATCAAAGGATACTACATTATACTGCTAGATTAGCATCTAGCACAGCTTCTCTTTCAGAGTTGGCAAGCTGTTAGTTCAGCTCTGCAACAGGTGAATAACGTCAATCAGCAGCAGCACGAGGTCTGCTCTGGGATGGGCTGGGCACAGACCTTCCAGGAATCCTCCCTGCTGAACCACAGCTCAGCTCCCTGCCTGGGGACAGCCCCAAACCCTCGGCACCCAGGTACAGATGGCTGTTCTGTGGAATATAACTTGGTAGAACACTCAGCCCAAACCTACCGAGTGGACACACGGCTGCCAAGTGCAGGATTGAACAAAGCAACTTGTAAGCAAAGCTCTGTCCTCTCTCCTTTGCTCTCTGTTCCAGGAGAGGGATGGGAGAGAGGGTCCAGTCCCACCAGCTGGCTTACACAGATAACAAAACCAGGAACAAATGTCAAAGGGAAAAAATCTTCTGTCAAAACCCTGCTTAATTCCCACTGTACGTGGTGATTGCTAAGGGGCCTTCCAACACAAACCATCTCACGATTCTCTGATTCTACTTGTCTAATCTACTGCAGCTTTCAGATACATTAGAGACATTAAACTCCAACAAATTAATAATGTTGATGACACCATCACTGCGCACGTAGTCAAAGGCCCTGTTATGAGAACTATCTGCCTTTGGATGATGATGAAGCACATGGGGCCTCCAACAGCTGGAATATAATGCTGTTTTCCTACCAGCCATCTGCTATCCCAAAACGGTGTTCCAAACGCTTCTGGCTTTTCAGCACTGCCACTGCAGCATCCTGATGGCTTCCCTTCACAAACAGAGAAGGTAAAGGTGGTGACGGCAGAGGTTTTTGGAGAAACATGTCACAGCCATGCAGTAAATAAGAAGGAAGCGTTTCTGACCTGCACAGCAGCATTCTTCTAATCCTGAACAACGCTTTTGTTCCAGATGGCAACCTGGTTAACCCAAGTTATAAACAACTGACAGAGATGAGAGTTGTCCTCAGGAGAATTTTTTTGGCGGTGGTTTTCCTGTTTTGTGGATATAATGTCACAGTCTCAAAGCACGTACAACAGGAAAATGTGTTGCCATTAAAACAGAACAAAAAAAAGTGTTGTGTGCCTGCATCTGACACCATCGAGCTGGGGATGAGGGCACGCTTCTCTTCCCCAGGTAGGTCCTGACAGCCACCTCCCAGGATGGCCCCACTGCCTTCCAGCTGCCTTCACAGCCATGAGAAGCAAAGCTCTGCTTGTCAGACCACGGCCATCCACAGGTCTTGGTCTTGTAACGTCATCATAGCTGCTCTGCGAGGCTGACCTGAAGGAACGATGCAGATGTTGACTGTTCAGGACCTGAGCTATTTACTTAGGCCAGATTCTCATTGGCATTTCCTGTTACCTGGAGTTACTCTGGATTGACATCAGTGGAGGGGAGCACAGAGCCAAGCCCTTTTTGTAAGCTTACTGCCAGTGAAATCCGACCTGCACCACTAAATCTAATGGAATTCATACCTCGTTTACATTTATGGATGTAAAGAGAACGTGACACAATATCTGAGAACACTGAACTCAGAATCTTGACTCCCTAACTGGCATTTAAAAACAGGCAGTGCTGCCTCACCTGTGGCTGTGCTATGGCCAGAACAGCCTTGGCAAGAAAGTTGGGACGCTTGAATTAAAAAAAGAAAAGGCAACAACAACAACAAACACCAAAAGCACAGCACTGGGCCGCTTCCAATGCAGCATTTAAACTTTTGAGTTGAAACTGCAACTTTAAAAATAGTAAGCTATTAATCTTTCCCTTGTTTTCTTGACTCCTATACATCTCCTCCCATGTAGGCAGGTACCAGCTGCCATACTCCCATTCTTCACGCTCTGCACTCTGCAAAAAAAGAGGCCCCTGCTGGCCAATTCTTGTTTAAAATTGTGCATAATTGATAGTGGCAAATCTACCCCAGCTGTGTCTAAAACCTCTCCAGGGGCAAGAAAAACACTCTCTGTGACTGTCATTAACTACTAAATTAGCAAGTGCTCCTGGCAGTTTACAACATACCACATCAGTCTGCTTTTCTTTAAATAAAAAAGGAAAAAAATAGAATGTGAAGATCAGATGCCTGTGTGATCTCAAAGTTACTTCTAACTTTGCTGGCAGAACTTTGACAGAAGCCCCAGCTAAACAGGAGCAAAAGGCAATGGAAAGAGTGAGCGGGAGAAAGAGCAAAAGAGAAAGGAAGGAGAGGGAAGGACCCTAAAACTACGCTCTTTTTTAGGCAGACAAATAGAAAATGCTAAGCTCAAGGCGAGAAAATGGAGTCTTTGATAAGGTGTGATACATCTTTGACAATCAAGATATTAACACCACGTTATCTGATGCTATGACATAATTCCCTATGAAAAGGAGCTCACCTGGAGGACTTCGTTCTGGCAGCACAACAGCTTCAATTTTTGTATTTGAGATATAAAGCTGGAAAAGAAATGAGGCTATTGAAGTGTATGGATGCAGCAGCTCCCTAAAGGGCTGCCAGAGGTCGAATCCTTGTGTGATCATTGGCTCCGTGCAAGCTCCTCCCTCTGGTTCATAAAACAGAGCCAAAGCAGGTGGAGGAGGGAATAACACAGCTCTCACCAAAGGATGAAGTAGCCCTGGAGGAATTATGGACTGGCCTGGCAGAGAGATAAGAACCATGGATAAACC